TAAAAAAGTGACAAGGTGGATATGACAATACTTTTGCTATATACCTATACTACTTGCTATTGACGAAGCTTATATATGTGAAATATCAAGAAGTAGCCATATAACAAAAAGTGAGTCCGGTATTTTAGGTCAAGCTTCTTTTTTACAACTGTTGTCGACGAAGTTCTTAAACATAATATACTGAGATGTGGGCATTGTGAACAGTTTGCACAGAGGTTTAAGCCTTTTTTTCTTGTATAGTAGACTTCTTTGTGTATTCAGCATTCAAACCAGTAGAGTCTTTAAGAATAGCAAGAAAAAGAAGTAGACTTCCCATACCTTCGACATCCAAACCAAAAAGATATTTTGAGAGCAACATTCCTGTTGGGTCTTTGTACAAGAATATCAAGTAAAAACAGAAGAACTGGACTATACTACTATAACTCTTATATAAAGAACCTCACACACTCTTATTGGTCTACCACTTTTTTCGAAAAAATTTTTGTAAAAAGTAGGCATTTCAGTTTACTCTCTCCAAAAGATCAATATCATGTGCACCAAAACAATTGGTATTATTTACTTCCCAAATTGATATAACAAGACAACAAACATGTCAAAGCATGTGTCTCGAATACAACAATCTGATTAAGCAATGTTCTACAACTTGAAACGAGTACTGACCCCTACATTCTATAGTTGAAGAAGTATTTTTTTACTGGTTTTGAGCTTTTATATACTATGTAGATAAATTTAGAGTAAAGACTATTTTATTTAATAGTATGTAATTTTTATAAGCCTTTTACGAGCTCATAATAGTGATTATTAGGATAGACAAATTTCTTTTTTTCTTTTTTTCAATATCCCCTTACCACTTTTTCTTTCTTACTTGTATCTTTTATCGTATTTTCCTTTTATCTCCGTTTTATTTTTTCTTTTGTATTTGTGCTTTCGTTAATTTGGCTTTTTTGATAAAGCATGTAGCTGCTAGGGCTAAAGATTAGAGAGTTCATATCCTCAGTAAGTTGAGAATCTAACGTGAAGCCAATTGCTACTAGGTGGGTCATTCTCTGAGCTTAGCTCAAGTTGATATTTACTTACGTAGAATATAGTATAGAAAATTGTATCTTCCTGTTAATATAAATTCTGGTACTTCTCAATAAAGAGTAAGAGGCAGAACTGCTGAATTAAACAAAGATAATACTATTAAACCTGTGCTAGATTGTAAAAATTATATAGTACTACTAAATAATCTAGTTAAGCTCTATACTAGTTATTTATATCTATATCTAAAATATTAAAAAATAAGAAAAACTATTTATTCTTAAGTAAAGATCCAAGTTTGAAATTTTTAATCTATTCCAATAGGACCCTGAATAATATATAGATAGGTTAGATCTAAGTTTGCTTATTTTCATATCAAATTTGCTTTAAAAATATTTATTTTTGACTAAAATTTGAAAAATTTATTATGTAAAAATACAATGTTTATTGAATTTCTCTTAAAATTTTCTTTTTTAGTAACTTCTAATCTATCTATATATTACTCAAAGTTCTGTTCCAATTCATTCTTCTTAAAACTTCTACAATGCTACTTGAATATAGTCTTTCTATACAATTCTTCCTATTACATCCTATAAACTCTACTAAGTTAAGACTTCTGTTACAACTCCAGGGTGGCAAAAAGTCAAGTACATTTTTTATTCTAAAGTAAACACATATACATATATATTGTGCCTCAGATGCATCCTTGTGTCAGATGCAATCCGACGCATGTTAGATGCCAATTTTCAGGTGATGCGCATCACCTGTCAATTGGTTACCTAATGTGCATCAGCTATAATCTGACACAAGATCTTTAAAATTTTCAAAAAATATAATAATGTCATTACGAAAGATGTAGTAATAACATCATTACAAATAAGAGCATAAAAAGCCTTTTTGCTCTTATCTTGATTTTTTTTTTTTCGTATGATAGTTTGTTTTACTTTTAACGGCTGGCATACTTTTTTTTTTATTTCTTGTTGGTTGGTTGATTCTTGGTTCCACATTGCCTTAATTCTTGGTGTCCACTAAAACATTAGACATTGGATTTATTCTTGGTGGCCACTAATATATTGGACATTAGGTTTGTTCTTTGTGCCCACTAATAATACATTGGACGTTGTGTCTACTAATAATACATTAGACGTTGGATTCATTCTTGGTGCCCACTAATATATTGGACGTTAGATTAATTCTTGGTGCCCACTAATACATTGGACGTTGGATTCTTGTTGCCCACTAATATATTGGACGTTGAATTCATTCTTGGTGCCCACTAATATATTGGACGTTAGGCTTGTTCTTGGTGTAATAATACATTGGACGTTGGATTTATTCTTGGTTCCCACTAATATATTGGACGTTGGGTTTGTTCTTGGTGCTCACTAATATATTGGACGTTGGATTCATTCTTGGTGCCCACTAATATATTGGACGTTGGGTTTGTTCTTGGTGCCTACTAATACATTGGACGTTAGGTTTGTTCTTTGTGCCCACTAATAATACATTGAACGTTGGATTAATTCTTGGTTTCCATTAATATATTGGACGTTGGATTCATTCTTGGTACCCACTAATACATTGGACGTTGGATTCTTGTTGCCACTAATACATTAGACGTTGGATTCATTCTTGGTGCCCATTAATATATTGGACATTGGATTCATTCTTGGTGCCCACTAATACATTGGATGTTGGATTCTTGTTGCCCACTAATATATTGGATGTTGGATTCATTCTTGGTGTCCACTAATATATTAGACGTTGGGTTTGTTCTTGGTGCTAATAATACATTGGATGTTGGATTCATTCTTGGTACCCACTAATACATTGAACATTAGATTTGCTCTTGGTGCTTACTAATATATTGGACATGGCCTGCTTATAATTTATTTTTTCTTTGATCTTAACTGTTTTCATTGGCTACCACCTTTTTTTCCCCCGTAATATCTACCAAATAGAGTATACATTTATTAGTAGAAGCACCCTTGACCGAATCTTGGAAAAGTATATAACTAATCTTCCAAAAGCAAAGCAAGGGAAGGCCTTAATCAATCTGGAACTCTTAAATAAAATAAAAAACATTTTATTAAACCCCAAAGACACCTCACTTTATGATAAAAATACACGAAGTTGGGCCAAAAAAAATTTAGGCTTGAAGAAATTATGCCTGGGGATTACAGGGTAATTGTAAAAGCTACAAATAACTCTGTATTAATAACCGAAAAGTTTTATAAAGTTCTCTGTCATACTCACAGTGAAATAACGCAACATGGTGGTCAAAAACAAACCTGGAGTTAATTCGTGAAAAGTGGGGGTTTGTAAAACAAGAAGTTGTAGAACAATTTGTGAATAATTGCACTGCGTGTGTGGTCTAAAAACCAGCATTCCATCTCTTGGCAGCAAAACCAATCATTGCAAAAGACTTTTTGTCTCGCATACAGGTAAGTTTTACATTTTTGAAAATAAAAATTAAAAAAATTTTTTTTAACTATATTTATTTCATTTTATTTTATATTTTGCAGATATATTTAATCGATCTATCCTATATCCTAGATGGAGATTTTAAGTATGTATGTTATGTAAGAGACTATTTCAGTCAGTTCTAGTGGGCAAGACCTCTAACATCCAAGAGAGCAATTGAAGTCACAGCGTATCTTTTTGATCTTTTCCACATAATTGGATCACCTCCGACTATACTCCAGTCTGACAATGGGAAGGAGTTTGTAGTACAAGTAATCAAGGAACTAATAGAGTTATGGCCATTAGTGAAAATTATTAACGGACGCCCAGGCATCCCCAATCGCAAGGTTTAGTAGAACGTACCACCGGCATCTTGGAGCAAAAGCTAGAAAAGTGGTGTGAAATGACTGGCAAAAATGACTGGTTATTCGGCTTAAGATTGGTCATGGTGGCTATGAACAATTCGTGGTATAGATCACATAAAAAAACCCTCTATGAACTGGTTTATGGAGACAAGCCCTATGGTGATTGCTCTCTGGTTGATAAACTTTATGCAAATAATATCTTCGACGAAGAGGAAATTTCCGATACAATCGAAATTTCCAGTGATTATGATATAGACTTGGACGATGATATGGCCGATATTAAAATTAATTAAAGCATTTTATTTATTACTAACTACTGTATATACTTTTTTTTTT